CTACCAGCACAGGGGCATGCAAGGCAGGTGAAGGCACACCACCCGGACTGAGGCCACTGTTGGAAGATGGGAAAAGCAGGGGAGGAAGCACCCTCAGGATGCTCTTGGATGTCCTTAAAAGCAAAGCTGCAATTGCCCAATCCTTGTTATGACTCTGCTGGTGAACTTTTGGGAGAATACGATAATACCCAGAGCTGATGTTCAATCATTTTTCATTTTTCACTCATGTCTGACTTTTTGCAAGCTCATTTTTTTGGAGGGAGGGGCAAAGATACTGGAGTAGTTTGCCCTTTCTTTTCCCAGCTCATTTTACAGATGAGAAAACTGAAGCAAATGGGGTTAAGTGACTTGTCCAGGGTTACACCGCTAATAAGTGCCTAAATCCAGATTTGAACTCAGGAAAATGACTCTTCCTGACTCCAGGCCCAATACTGTATCCACTCTGTCACCTAGCTGCCTAGTACCCAGAAGTCATGCATTAAATATGTAGCACAGAATAAAGTGGAAATCTGGCAATTTTTTTCTTCCCCCCATCTATGCAAATAGTCAGTACAAATCAATCTCTCAGATCTACTTAGATCAAATCAGTTATCCCTTCCACATCATGGATGTCAGAGGCCAGCGCCACCATGATCTGAAAAATCCATGTAAAATTTTTTGGCTCTTCCTACCAGAGAAGAAATCTGAATTTTTTCTCTTTCTTTTATGGGGTATTGATATTATATAATACTATACATATATTTTATGCATTTCTGAGTTTCTAAATTTCTGTGACATTTGTTGGCCTTCATGAGTCACCTGTGGCTTCTGCAAAACTCTCCCCAAATTCCCATTTAATTTTTTATGCTGACCCTCGAATCACAACCAAGATGGGGGAAGTGGCAATGTGGAAGGGGTAACTGTAACTGGGTAACTGCCTATGTCCTATGTTATCTGCTTCAAAACTCTTTATTAGTCCCCCAACACACTTATTGAGGTAGCTAACCAAGGTTGTACATTGGGCTAGCTACCTTTCAAGGGCTGTCTCCTCCTAACGATCAGCGTTTCTGTTTTGACTGATTTCCTTGACCAGTAAATATGGAAGAGAGGCTTCTCCAGACTGGGTTATAGGAACCAACCTTTGGGGAGCTGAGGATAACTCACATGGAATGTTAGAACTAGATGAGACCTCATTTTATGGATGAGGAAACTGAGCCCCCAGGAAATTTAATGACTTGTTCATGGTTGTGTAAGTGGTGAGCATTGGAGGCAAACTTTGTAGTCAACCGCCCTTTTTACTTTACTGTGCTTTCTCCAGTCTAGAGACAACATGATCTAGTGGGAAGAGCAGAGGATTTGCAGTAGAAGAGGGGGTCTTCCAGTTCTAGCTACAGTAGTCACCAGATACAATTTACTTATTTTCTCTAGGAACCTCAGGACCTGTCTTCACATTTACAAAAAGGAAGAATTTTATGATTTCTGCAGGATAAGGCCATACATTAAGCTAACATTGTTTTTCTTTTCATTTTTGCTCAACCTGGTGTTTCCCTTGCACTAGAATGGATTTCTTGAAAACTAAATGTGATTGGCTCTGGTGCCCGTGGCCTAGAGCTTCTACTTGTTCTTTCACAGCATAAATCCTATCTTAATGGCACTTAGTCCCTGGCTTGCAAATCTTGAATCCCCAAGGGAAAGACATTCCTAAGTGTCCATGACCCTATACAATTAGAGAGAGTATGGCAGGGAGGCCTGCAGGAGTAGAACAAAAATCAATGCTCTAATATCATTTTGCTTGACAGATTACTATTAAATGAAGCAGGGAAATGAAATCCAAGCTCTCAATAAAGATGCGTTTGGCATGGCCAGTGAGTTTCCCAAAGCTCCTTAATAAAGGGGCATCAAATGTGCTGAGTAAGCAGCTCCTAGCTCTTGCCTCAGGACCTAGAGATTGGACCTGAAGAAGCAGGTCATCTGGCGAAAAGCTAGAACTTTTCTTTATCTTTACTCACATGGGCTCAAAGAGATAAGGCTGGTTCATTTGCCATTCAATGGGAAGAATATTGGACATGTCTCCATTCAGACTGTGTAGTCATGGTAGGTATGTCTCATCGGGATGCCTTGATCTGTTCAATCCAATAATTCAATCATCATTTATTGAGTACTTATTATGTATAAGGTATTTATTATTATGTACATATTATTATGCGTAAGATAGTATATTAGACAGTGGGAGGGAGAGGGAATTAGCATTTATTAAATACCTATTATGTGCTGGGCATTTTTTTAAGCACTCTTGTTCAAAAGTCATTTCAGTTGTCTTAACTCTTTGTGACACCATTTGGGGTTTTCTTGACAAAGATGCTGGAGTGGTTTGCCATTTCCTACTCCAGCTTATCTTACACATCAGTAAAATGGGGCTTGACCAGGGTCACATAGCTAGGTAGTATCTGAGGCCAGATTTGAACTCAGGTCTTCTTGACTCCAGGCCCAGCACCACTGTGCCACCAAACTGACCCTAAATCTAGTGTAATTCACCATAATTCAATAATCATTTATTGAGTACTTGTTATGTATGAGGGACTGTGCCAGACGTTTGGAGGAAGGAAGGGAGAGAGAATAAGCATTTATTAAATGCCTACTATGTGCCAGGAGCTGTGCAATACAACAATTCTGGGAAGTAGGTGCTATTATTATCCTCATTTTACAGTTTAGGAAACTGAGGCAGGCAGTGGTTAAGTGACTTGCTTAGAGTCATAAAGCAAATATTTGAGGTGAGATTTGAACTCCAGTCTTTCTGACTCCAGGCCCAGGGCTTTATGTCACCTAAAAGTGGAGAGAAAAAGACAAAACAAAGAATTTCCCATCCTTGAGGAACTTGTCTAGGAATCACAACTTCTCCAACAGAGCCAAACACTACTATTATCCAAGGTCAATTCATAGGAACAGGGATTTGGAGCTGGAAGGGACCTTAGAGGTCATCTACTCCAACCCCCTCATTTTACAGTTGAGGAACCAAGGCCTAGGGCGGTTAAGTAACTGAACCAAGTTCAAATAGATAATAAGTGGCAGAGCCAGGATTCAAACACCCATGCTTTGGCTTCAGATCCAGCACACTTTCAGCTATACTGTCCTGTTTCCTTCTTGGACTGTGTTCTACCTTGGTTCTTCCCTTGTAGACTGCTTTTCTCGTCTTGGCAACTTTTACAGCACTTAAAGCTTTACCAAGTACTTTTCTCACAAACCCTGCTGTGAGGTAGGTCTTATAAGTATTATTGTCCCCATATCACAGATGAGAAAATTTAGGTTCTGAGAAGTAAATTGACTTGCCTATGGTCATATATCTAGGGTCAAAGCTGAGTTTCAAATCCAGGAATCCTGGCTTGTAGATCTGTTGTTCTCTCCAGTACAAGATGATGCATCTTTCTCAATCAATCAACCATAATAATAATGTTCTACCTTTCCTATGTGAAGATGACAGCAGTAGGGGATCTGCTTTTGGCTGATGGAGCCAAGAATGAGGATGGGTTTGCACTGGGTCACTCACATTCTCTCACTTGGTTCTCATGGTGACAAAGGACGCACATAGCTTCGATGATGTTCTGGAAATGGCTCAGGCCCAGGTGGCAGAACATATGACTTCTAGTCAAACTTCTGTCCCTAACTGTATGACCTAGGAAAAGACATTTCCCTTCTTTGGTCCTTAGTTTCCTTAACTGTAAAGTGAGGCTGGAGGATTTGATAATCCTTCTTGGTTCTACCATTCTCTGCTCTCTGACATGAGTTAGTGGTCTGGTCTGTGGCCATGAGACAGAACAAATATAACTAGTTTAGATAAGGTTTGAACACAAGACCTTGACCTTTTTAGCATTGCATCTGAATTAATCTGCTATCATTAAAACATTACTCTTCCTGGTCTCAAGTGAGTGGGACTTAGCTTTGACTCAGAGGATCTACTCATGAGACTCACCTCTGTCAAGATGCTGTACTCCTTGGATCATTTCTCCTTGTGCCTCTCTATGCCTCAGTTTCCCCCTTGTCTTTTCTTGTCCCTCTGAGGTGCTGGGACAATTCTTTAAATAGTTGAGTGGAACTCGAAGCTCTGTGCAGAGAGGCTCTCTATAAATACCAGGCATTTATAATTAGCTTTAGTATCAACATATTTCTTGGTGAGGCGGATGAAAACATCAGCAGGTGGTAGGGAGTCAAATTGCAGTGTGCTGTGGGTTTGTAAACAGGTGTCTGAGAAATAACTTCTCCTAATGACCTGGAAGGGTCAGAGGTCAGAGGGCAATTGTTGCCTTCCCAATCACAGGCCAAAATAGGGAGAGAGATAAGAGCTTATATTCCCTCTGTATCCTCAGGGAGAGGAAAATGTATTCCCTTCCAATAGCTGGGAACCTATAGTCTATCTCTGAGTCAGTCTGTCAGTCACTCAAGAACTGATTTGCTCTATTGCAGGCACTGTGCTAAACAATGGTGATACAAAGAAAACAAAAGACTGTCCCTTCTGTCAAGGAGCTCATAGTCTAATAGGGGAGATGACATGTAGACAGCTATGAACAAACAAAACATAGACAGGATAAATTAAAATAATCAACAGAGAGAAGGCATTAGCATTAAGGAAGATTAGCAAAGGAAATTCACAGAAGGTGGAATTTTAGTTGAAACTTGAAGGAAGTCAGGGAAGCTAAGAGGTGGAAATGAAGAGGGAGAGACAGCCTGATATCAGCCCTCTTGTAAAGGGCATACAGCATCACGTTTCTTTACATGCATCCAATTGTTGGACAATCCCTTAGAGAAAGGATCTAAGTTGGGTTAAATACAGTCTTGCCTGAAGACAAGTACTATATCAGATAGCCTATGGAAACCTTTGATAGGCTGAAGACCATGTTTCTCAGAAACTTGAAATTATAGACCAGTTTTTGCGCTCCCATTTCCATGCTGCCCCATAAGCCCATGTTCTACAATGGCCATAGGACCATGTAGATCTTTAATCGTGTCCAATGTACTCCTTTTTACAGATGAGGAAACTGCAGTCCAGAGAAGAGAAATGATTAGCCCACAATCACCCAAGTAGTGAGCAGAAGAATCAGGATTTGAACCTATGTCTTCCAAGTCTAAATTCAAGATTCTATTGCATCATTAAAAATTCTTATTTTATTTTTAATTTGTGGAATAAAACAAGCATTTCCATAACATAGTATAATAAAAAAGATTGCACATGAAACTGCAAATGTGTTATGTACGACTTGCTATTCCTTTAAATGTACAAAGAAGTTATCACGTAAATTTCTTTTTTTTCCTTTTTTTCTTCCTTCCCCATGCCCACCCTAGAGATGGGCACCATTAGACACACACACACACACACACACACACACACACACACATACATGTAAAATTTTCTGTATATCTATTTATCAGCTCTTTTTACTTCATCATGTTATTCACCAAAGGCTATATAAGACTACTGACCTTATTGACTTGTTCTGGAGATAGTACCTTGTAAACCTTGAAGCATCATATAAATGTGAGTTGGTATTTATTTTTATTCTCATCAGAGACTTTTAGAACTGGAAAGGACTTTGGACTTCATCTAACCCCAGTGGTTCTCACAGTTCTCTGATACCCTGCGGGTACTTGAAAGTCTTTCAAGAGTTCTAAGAGCTCCAAATATTTTTAATAAGACAAATGTCTTAATGTCCTAAAAAATCTCAATAAGAATTTTAATGTCTTATTAAGCTAAGACATTTTAATTTCTATATAGTAAATATCAATAGATATAAGGCACATAAAGAAAAGCCCTTTGAGGCCCTCAATAATTTTAAAGAATATACAAAGGTTATGAAAACAAAAAGTCTAAGAATAACTCATCTAACCTAAACTCTTCATTTTGTAAATGAGGAAACCTAGGCTCAAAGAGTTAAAGTAACTTGCCCCACATTACACAGGTAATTAGTGGAAAAATTGGAAAGATAGCCCAAGTCTTCTAACGCCTAGCCCTGTGGATTTTCCCCACCATTCCACGCTGCCTCAAAGTTTAAGAAAATCAGGGTGGTTCTTAGGCATTGGTAAAGTGCCAACCCCACTTTCCCATCTAGTATGATTTCTGATTTGGGGGAGTGAAGAATAAGGAATAATAGAAAAAGGATTTGAACTCAGGTCCTCTGATTCTATGTTTAATGATATTTCCTCTACCATGTGCTATCTCCTAACACACTAGCTGGTGTTTCAAATTCCATAATTAAAGATTTATATTTGAGTACCAAGGCTTTGATCTTAATTCATATATAAATCCCTTTGGGAGAAGAAAGCGATTAACAGCATTTAGTATGAATGAGTTTCCTATAGATCTGAAGCAGGATTTGATTATTGAGTAGGGAAGTGTAGGAAGTAAGGCAATTAGGCAACCCAGGAAGGCAGGAAACCAGTTGTTTATCCTTTGTTTTCAAAGAGTACCAAGACATCATAGTGCTGGGGTATGAATGATATCTTGACTTGCTCATGAATTGGATTTAAGTGAGACAGGGTTTCATAAAGTAGTCAGCCTTACTCTCTCTTCCAGCACCATCAAAGTTCAGTTTCAATACAAAAATCAAGATGACATGTGATGGTCCAGGATGCAGTGCATGACCTTGGCATCTTTGATGTCTGACCAAGAGCTCTAAGTGCTCCATAGCATCCGGTTCAGCTGCCTTCATGGCCTTTGGAACAAAACATTCTCATTCATCCATTCCACCAGGGAAGTCTTCATATACTTGGAGTGAACGTCTACCTAACTCACTGGTAAGCTTGAGGCCTGTCAGTTACCCTCAACTTGCTTTAGTCTATCTACTGAGATGGTTTTACTGGGATGTGGTTGCTGCGCATGACACAGCTTCTTGGAGCCACAGGTGAGAGTTGGGTGACAGGTGGACATCAAAAGTGAAAAGGGCTCAGCAAGCTCTCACTCCAGAGATGCCAGTCCTCCCTGAAGACTCTATATACCAGGTTATGCTAATGACACAGAAAAGACAGGTGGAAACAATGTAGACAAAATTTTACTTACTGATTTTTCCCCCAAGGGAAGTGTCTGAGAAGTAATGGGGTGTAGATAGACAGTATAAAACTTAGACTAGAACTGATGATTAATTATTGATTGAGAATTGTATCTAATCAGTGTATCTGATCGGAACCAATATCTATGAAATTTATACTTGATTTTATGGGTCTTGATAGACAGATTCAAACAGGCTTGCCAGTAAAATTTGCATTGCTACTAGTCATTCTCCCTCAGGGGCTGGCTGGGACGCCTGGACTATCTCTGTGCAGATCAAAGAACTGTAGGGATGGATTCTAGGCATAGAAAGCACAGTTCCTATCATCCCAGAAGTTACTTAGGGCATGGGGGTGGGGGGAGAGACCAAAACCACAAGTACATATCTTATAAAGGCTTAAGATAATTTGTAATCACAAGCACAATTTATTTTTCAATATCTTATTTTTATTGACTTTTTTTTTTACATAATCTTCATTTCCAAATATATCCCTCTCTTACCTATACAGAGATCTCTTGTGACAAAAACTTTTAAAAGAAGAGGGGAAAAAAGCAGCTTGGGAAAACCATTCAACATATCAAATGTGTCTGACAGCATATGTAATATTCCACACCCACAGCTCCCACCTCTGCAAAGAGGGAGTTGCATTTCTTTAACATTTCCCCCCCCCCCCAGGTCCCAGCTTGGTTGTTATTAGTTTTGTTGGTTTGTTTGTTTTCTGTTTTTTTGGCAATTGGGGTTAAGTGACTTGCCCAGGGTCACACAGCTAGTGTCAAGTGTTTGGTCTGAGGCCAGATTTGAACTCAGGTCCTCCTGACTTCAAGGCCAGTGTTCTATCCACTGTACCACCTAGCTGCCCCCATTATCGTTTCATTTTTTAAAAATTCATTTTTGTAATTATTATATTATCATCTCAGCACTACATAGGATCAGAGACCAATAGATGATAGATCTAGAGCTCAAAGAGGTCTCAGAGGCCATCGAGTCCAACCTTCCTCATTTTTACAAATGAGAAAACTGAGACACTGAGGTTAAGTGACTTGCTCTGGGTCACATAACTAATAAATATCTGAGGAAAGATTGAAAGTCAGATCTTCCTGGCTCAGTGACCCTGTCTACTACACCTTACTGTCACTCTGCATCTGTTCCTGTATATCTTCCCGTGCTTCTCTGAATTATTCAGATTTGTCACTTCTAATGTCACTATAATATGATTACATTCTTATGCTACAATTTGTTTATCCATTCCCAATTGTTGGAAAGACAAGTGCAATTTAATGGTCCATACTTACAAAGGGGGTTCTAAGTAAAGACGGCATCAGAGAGATGAAGGATTGATTAATCTGAGAAGGCTTCCTGGAGATGAGAAGTTTTGCTGTCCTGGTTTAATGGTTTTATTCTCAACACCACTTCTTGTTGGTTGTTTTTCAGTCATGTTCAACTCTTTGTGACCCCATTTTTTTTTAGTAAAGATACTAGAATGGTTTGCCATTTCCTTCTCTAGCTCATTTTGCAGATGAGGAAACTGAGGTAAACAGGGTTAAATGACTTGCCCAATGTCACACAGCTAATAAGTATCTGAAGCCAGATTTGAACTCAGGAAGATGAGTCTTCCTGACTCCAGGCCTGGAACTCTAAACACCATGCCACTGAGCTTTCCAACATTATTCCCTATGTAGATGCAACTGCATCACTGTTGCCAGTTTAGGCTACTAAGTTTCTTTCTTTTTTGAAAAATTTTATCTATTTTATTCTGAACTTAAGAAATAAAACAAGCATTTCTATAACATAGTACAATAGAAAAAAAGATGATTGCATATGAAACCACAAATCTATTATGTACAACTTGCTATTCCTTTTAAATATATAATAAAAGTATTGTGTAACTTTCTCCCTCCCTCTACTCCTTTTTTTCCTTTGTGTAATGCTGTCTGTAAAATGTCAGTCTTGGGGACCTGTGATAGTAGGTGCTGGATAAAGGAAATGTTATGATGGAAATAAGCATTGGATTGGCAATCAGGAAATCCAGATTCTAGTCCTAGCTTTACCATTAACTCAGCTGTGTGACCTTGGGCAAATCTCTTCATGTCTCTTCATGTCACTTTTTCACCTATCAAATGAGGCAGTTGGAATAGGTGATGTACATCGTCTCTTCCAGTTCTAGAATCCTACACGATAAGGACTAGGCCTGAGATTTCATGGGTATAGTGATCTTTCACATGAGGAACTCCCTCTGGGTATACAAATTGGCATCTTCTAGCTACCATTTATGTAGCACTTCAAGGTTTACAAAGCATTTTACAAATATTATCTCATTTGAGACTCATAATACTGGAAGGTAGGTGTTATTATTAATCCCATATTATGGATGGAGAAACTGAGGCAGATAGAAGTTAAATGATTTGCCCAGGGTCCCAAAGCTAGTAAGCACCTGAGGCTGGATTTGAACACTTATCTACTGAGTCCAGGTCTAACACCCTATCCACTGTGGTTCCTAGTTGCTCTAGTATCTAAAGTTTTAGAGAGCTGCCTGGAGTCCTGAGCAGTTAAAGAGATTTGTCCATGGTCACAGAGCCAATTAGGAACAGAAGTAAGACTTAAACCCAGATCTTCCTGGCTTGTAGGCCACCTCTCTATTGTACCACAATGCTTCTCATAATATCCTTTGAATCTACAGAATACGTTTTAAGGAAAGGATGAATGAATGAATGTAGTTGAAGCCCCAAAGTCCATCAGTATGTGATCTCTCTTCTCTGGTAGAGATCAACGCCCCTCACCTGCATGAGGGCTGGGGAATGTTGAGAGAGAGAGAGAGAGAGAGAGAGAGAGAGAGAGAGAGAGAGAGAGAGAGAGAGAGAGAGAGAGAGAGAGAGAGAGAGAGAGAGAGGATACAGTCTCCTTTGTCTGGTGGGTCTCTTGAGGCACCTTAAGCTCTCCAGTCTCTTCTGGCTTCCAGTTTTGAGAGAGAAGATGGACAATGTCAATCCCACTTCAGGTTGCTGAGGGGGAAAAAAAAAGACAAAGAAGCCAGTATAAGAGAAGCTGGAAATCTCTATCATGTCCCTATGCTTTTTGCATTAGAGATTTCAGGGAATTTTTCCCTTGGGTGAAATCTGGGACTTTCTTAGTTGAGCTGAATTAT